TTCCGGAACGGTACTCAAGACGTTGCAATCCTGATAACGGGTTCATTCTTAGGATAAGTAATACGATGCACGTGGGAGTACTGAGCGAATTCGTTGTAAAAGCAGAGGATTCGGCAATCATAGAAAATTAGACCAGAATTTTGAAATATTTGAGAAAATTTATTTTTATAAAATTTCTATATATCTAATTAAATATAAATAACTTGATAATAATTTTGTATAGAGGGGTTTGAAAATTTGTTACACAAAACAAAGTGAAAAGTTATACAAATGAGAATTTAATTAACTACAGAATAGAATTATTTACATAAAAGTTTTAGTCTACTGAAATAATTATTCCATCCTTGAATACCCTACTGTTAATTAATTGTATGTGTAACTGTCATCATTGTTATCTAATAAATTTCATAAACGGGGTTTTAGCAATTAAATATCGAGTTTTTCACCTAGTAAAATTATTCATAGAAAACATCTAAGTTAAGTGAATGCGCTAATTATTAATTAGATTATTAGGAAAACTATTAGTATTTAATTGCAGACTTCAAAAAAATTAAAGATTATTGGCAGTAAATATAATATTAATGACACAAAAAGAAAGTAAATAATTATTATCAATTTGTGATTAATGTATAAAATTTGCAGAAATGTATTTAAATATAAATTCTTGTTAAAAATAGTACTGTTCTCTCTGATATTACGCGGAAGAGATAGAAACAATGCGATAACACCTCGAGAATAAGCGACTCGTCTCGATTCTTGGTAACTTCGCGATGATTTCATTAAGTATTCGTGAGAGAATCTGCGGTAACCTCTTCTCACTATTAAGTGGAGCACTCCTTGAAGTTGCTAAAGAGTATAGTCAAAGCTCTACGCTTACAAAATTTTTCTTGCAAGATTACATGAGGTAGCATTGCCATCTTATTTAAATTACAAATTTTATCACAAGCGAAATAAAAATGTAGACTCGCGTTTATGATCATTATTTGAATCTGGCCTTACGAACGTGTTACGTGAATTATTCAGAATGGATTTTTATATCTTAGAATGCGAAGTTTGAAAAGTTCATTTTAAGTAAAAATCAAGCGAGCCTATATTTAACATTTAACTAAACATGACAAGCGAAACGATTACATACTTAAAATCTAACGTAAACTTAAAATTAAATTGTAATAAAAAATGTTACAATTCTAAAATTTAAATTATTAACATTTATTAAGACGATTTTATATCCTAAATAACAATTAGACTACATTTAACATTAATTATCCGATACATTGATTAAAACATAATGAACGCGTTTATAATCAGTCTTGTTCAAACACAAAGAGCGCGTTAGTAGTATATGTCAATGATATGTCAGTCATATATGAAAAAGAAGATTTGATTCCTTTTAGAAAATATATGCAAGCGCACATATATTTCAGATATGAAACAGAACAGCGTGGAAGATAATGGCTTATTAAAAATATAATATTATATAATGTCAAAGAATCACAAATTAAAATCTTACAACATTTTGTTTTTATTGTGACATATTCACATTATCATGCAACAATGTCTCATGTTAATTTAAATAATGGAAATATTTTCTTCGTTTTTACGAATAATACAGGTTTTAGCTTTTATTTTAAGATTACATAAAAATTATGCAATGCGAACTATGCAACAATGCTACGAAGCTTGAGCTTCGATACTTCCGCAGAAGAATTTCTCTTATTGTTACATCCTTTTCGTTATCATACAAGGCATGCACTCGAGGTAGAATATTCTATTTTATAGGATGTAACGTGACTGGAGCGCATCCCTTCTTACAAATATTTTCTCCAAGCTCGTGAGCTCATGTACGCCTGATTAAATAAAGAAAACAGATATGGCGCATATTATCGGGAAACTAAGTCCACAACATAATAGAATTTTCCCTTTGTTTTGATGAAAATAAAGACAGGTTCTCTACTTAATATACAACTTATTTTTAATTAATTTATCTTAATTTCAACGCTATTGTGCATATTTATTTATTCATCTAATTATTACTTTAATGTCAAACTGTCGAAAATAAATTTTTCGTTTTGTAAGCCTGAGTTTAAAAATAATTGTATTTTTACTTTAATTAGGATTTAATTTAAATTCAACATGGAATGAACTGAAATTTTTTGTTTATATATATATATATATTACCATGTCTCTTTCCGATTTAAAAATTCACTTCAATAAGCAGCCACCGTTCAACTTCTTCTGCTCTAAAGTCTTATTTGCATTATTAAATAAGCGGAAAGCCAGCCATCACGAAGAATTTGTAAGAATTTAAAACTTCTGGATAACTCTAAGCCAAAGTAGTAATCAAGCCACAAGTTAAAGGAGCATGATGAAAAAGAATTTAATTAAGCTATCCCATCTCGGCCTAGTATGTCTTGCGTAGTATACTTGGCGTAGTTATACCTTTTTTGCATCAGAAGTTGCGATCAGAAGAAGGTTCTTAATAAATAAAATTTGACCGCAATGGCAGTAGAATAACAGGTTTAATCAATTCGAAAAAATATCTAGATAATAGTTAAATAATTCGCGATTATTAGAAAAATTATTAGAAAAATTATTCCAAGATGTTATCATATGATATTTTATTATATACAGAAGAAAATTGTTTTCTAAAACTGAAGTAACAAAAATTAAATAAATATTTGCAACAGATAATTTGAATGTAATAGTTCTCTTATGCAAAACGTTATTATGTAAAAATATTCTGGTTACATATTAAGCTGATTCTACGTTAGTCGCGAGTCGATCGTAAGCTTATTACGACAGTTAATCTGAAGCGTCAATTTTTAAACTGACACTTCAAATTAACTGTCGTAACAAGCTCGCGATCAACTTGGGATTAATGTAGAACCAGCTTTATATAAAAACATCTCTTCAACAAAAGCATGCGCATCGATTCTTATTAAAATTTGACATTTGAACATTTTTTAACAAAAAACATTTAATTTAAGTATTATTCACGTTTTATACGTTTTCTGAATACATACAATCAGTGGTACTAATGAAATGGCAGAAATGATATTGATATATCATTTTTGGAACGCAAATGTTGCTTAAGTAATAGATAAGTAAGTATTGGTTTGCTTCATTTGCATTATTTTGCAAGTCTAGTATCGTACTAGGCCTAGTTTGCTCAAATAATTGTTAAAGTTATGACAAAAGGCTGTTGATTTTTCCTACAATAAAAAAAGTCGGCTCTCTGGAAAAAGTTGCAAAAATAAGTATCGCGTCAATTCGCGTCCGAGTGCATGTAAAAAGTTGGCGTTTGTTCCTGTTAGTTATCGCAAATGGAACGGAATCGAACGGGGTGTAAGACAAGCGAGGTAGGACGTCAAAGGCCTGGGGTAGACTCGTCCATAATTAGCTCCCACTAGTCTATTCGAGTCTGCTTTAACGCAACGCTACCGAGATTTCATTGTCGTCGTAAGTTGCACTAAATTCAATCAGTACGACAATTCATTTCTATTTAATTAACATCTTAAATAATTATAATCGGATAACATAACCAGAGAATATTTCTTTTTTCTGTAAAAAGTTCGATGAACGCGATATCTTAACATTTTACGTAAACGATTATTAATCTATTTATCGATAATTTACACGCATAAACACATTTAAAATTTTTTTTTAACCACAAGTTTTTATGTTGAGATATTACACGAATAAATTTAAATGCTAATCTAAGTGTTATAAAATAACAAATCCTTCTTACGTTAAATACATATAGAATATTTACAGTCTCTTCAACATGCAATTTTGGAAAAAATGCGAAAACTTGACCGTAATCTTTGTATAGAGAGATTGGATTTTTCATAAAAAAATTCTACGAGAATACGCTATTTAAATTTTGAAGAATATCGCCGCAAGTAACGTTTGAAGAGAGTAACGTTTGCTTTCGCGGTAATTTATTTTATTGCGCGAGATGTCAAGATATACTGCACACTTAAATGCTACTCTGTAGTTACGATGGCAATTTGTTTTTATGTCGGCCGTTTATTATTAACATATTTATCAAACGTTGTTTACAGCGAAATTCCGTCATGGTGATTGATCATCGATAGCACTGTATTTAATAAATCTAAATCGTTATGCTAACATCTGTATAGTAATTTGATATTCAAACATTTAAAACAATTATAAATTCGGCTCTATTAAAAAAGTCTATTTAAATTTGATGCAATTTATAAAACTATTTATTTATGTAACTGAAATTATATTGTCATTAGTATTGACATATAATAGGCTTTTGCTATCTTATTTAATAATCTTCAGCTCAATTCGTGCAACTTCATTAAATTATAGGATTGATTTTGAAATAGGAGAATTATGCTACTATTTTAGTTTTAAAATAGATATAAATGAATTCAACCGAATTAATTGCTCGAAATAGTTATTATAGAAGAGAGTCATTGTCTGTTCTTGTGATAAGGAGCAACATTAGGGACAACCGAATTGTCTCTAAATTATTGCAGGGAAGGAATAAACCGACGGGTTTACTTTGGGGACATCAGTGCTCTGGTATTAGGTTCTGTTCACGTGTTCCCCAATATTGTTTAGTCTCCTGAGTAAAGAAAGATAGACGTCCCACATGAGTCTACGAACGTTCTCAATCACGAGAATTGTATAACATAATGGTATTAAACAAACGGCTATTACGTCTGTGATGACGGATTTGCGTTAATAATGAAAGAGGATTTTTATATACGAAAAATATAAATAACAGCAAATATAAAACAATAAAAAAGTGATATAAAATACTTATATCTATAATTTTAATTTGAGTTCATAACTAAATATATATGTAATTTCACAGTCCTGTAAATAAAGCGGAACGACTCAAGCGTTTTGTTTTAGAATGCGGAAAACAATATAATTAATTTTTTGTTTTTACCACATTAAATCTGCCGATTACCTCGGCTCGCTGCATTTCAGGATTGAAAAGTTAACGTGATTGTTCGTTATAGCGCCGACGAGGGCTTCGACGGCACTTACCCGACAAACGTCGTCGTAAAGAACAATGGGACCTGTATGTACGTGCCGCCCGGTATATTCAAGAGTACTTGCAAGATCGACATTACCTGGTTTCCCTTTGATGATCAGCGCTGCGAGATGAAATTCGGTTCCTGGACGTACGACGGTTCTCAGGTGAGCATAGGGGATATGCATTACGGAATTGGGTCAACCAATCGTCGTCGTTTTCCGATCCATCCTGTCCCGATGTTCCCTTCTTCGACACAGACGTCGAACTTACGAATTTTCCAATCTGTTGGAAGCACGTCGGTACTTCCCGTCGGTATAGTCTCGAGACCCGGAAATAATTCAAAGCGATGGCGTCGAGCAGTTTGATTAACGTCCAAGAACGAGAGAAAGAGGAAAACAGTGAGAGAGAGAGAGAGAGAGAGAGAGAGAACATTGAAAAAGGGGAAGAGAGAAAGAGACAGAAAATCTTCAGTTTGCCAACGTAAGATTCGTTCGCGAGAACGATTCGTAAAATTCCTAAGAACGGAGCTTTGAGTAAAGTACTCCGATCGCGTAATGGAGGCGCATTTTCTACTATCTCTGATGCAAGGTGGGATAGCATTCTTGGGATTACGATTCTCATTCATCTGTGAATAATGTTGAATAATTATTTATTTGAAGCAAGCGAGAAAAGTCTATACAAAGTAATTCCATAGAAAGCATAAATATATTGTTAGTAATAAGATCTCTCTTTATTATAAGATATGATGGATTGCCACATCCGGTGTAAATATTGCCGGTTTTACTTAATTTGTCTTTGAATATCTTTCGTTTATTTAGATCTTTCCTAAATCAAAATTATATTTAAAAAATTTGTTACTTGTAAATTTCTATTTTCTTTAATGGGTCACAGTTTACAATAATTTCTGTACATTTAAATATTAAACTTTTTCGCGTTGATGTTTGCACAGCATTTTTGTTGGAGACTAATTATTTTAATCTTTAAGAGTAGCAAATCTATTACCAAATAACTCGTATAAAAACGCATTTATTTAACATTTTTTAAATTAAAATACAGAATATAATTGATACAACTAAATAGGAACAATAAAAAATTAAAGCTATAATGCATTCATAAAAATTTCAATTATATTATATCAATTTCTTTTATCAAGGGATTTTATGAAAAATACGCGCGTAATGTTAAAACTTTTTTTGGAAAATGCTTGAGACCTGCGATTCGTACACCAGATTTGTATAAGTACACTTCAAAAATACCACAATAAGCGTAAAATGCACTCGGTGTTTGGTCGAGACACCACTAGGATGGTAAATGCCATTTCAGAGTGAATTGCAGAAAATTTACGAATTATAAGACATATTTAGAGGACAATGAACGTGAGAATGCGCGATATTCAGGATTTTCACCAACACGATTCCTCTACAACCTTTTATTCGTATAATCCAATTCACTCCATAAGGAAGAAATTTTTTCTAGTATTTTTGTATCACAAAATTATACTATAATACAATATATTATGATTTAACATTTTCTTAAAGGAATTTTGCTTAAATAAAAGAATATACGTAACTTTATAATCTCTTCTTATAAATTGAGTTAAGACTGATAAAATAAATACAATAAATTGTGGATTAGAATTTAGTGCTCGGAAACATCAGACGATTTGACAGTTCGGACAGTTCGAATCTTAAGTTCGAACGTTACATAGTTCGGACTGAATGTACGTTCGAACTATTTTAACCCACTTCAGAGCTGAAAGTTCGAAATTATTACATTTCGAACTCAGATATCACAAGTCGTCCTCAGGATCATCCTGAATATGTCGAGGATGACTCAGGATATAATAAATTGGCATTTCATACTGATCACTGCTTAAACTCAAACTGTTCGAACTATCCGAAATATTCGATGCTCATTTTTTAAAACTTCGAACTAATCGAATAGATCGAATATTCAACATGTTCGAATCTTTTGTCTAAGCCCTAGATTAGATCAATTAATTAATGATAAAAAGTAATGTGAAAATATCAATTTATAAAATTATTTTATAAAAGAAGTAGAGATAATAAAAAAGTATGTCATGATGTGTTGATTTCTTGGTATTTTTCATTAAATAATATTAATTCAAAATTATAGCGGTAGAATGGCCTATTTAAAAACTATGTTTTGTATTACAATAGATGTGCAGCTGTATGGCATGCTAATGTTGTCCGATTACGATAACGATAACTTTGCTAACTACAAAAGTTTCATAGTAGCGTGCAATTTATGTATACCGATTTATCGTGTAAACGTGTATTTCTGCCACACGACCAATGTACATACCTAGCAAGTCTTCAATTGTTGAACGTGCAACTTCGGAATAATTAAAATTGAGGATGCGAATTACACGGTGCCAGGCAATTCGAGAATGCTAAAGGGGTTCATTAACGAGGACAATAAGCAGAACAAAATGGAAACAAACGAAGGCAAAAGAAAGTAAGACAACGAAATATGCCAAAATTTTCTCGAGCTCATTGTCAGTTCGATCTGCTGAATACGAACGAGATGCAAAACAGACTTTTCGATTTGAGATCGTCCATTTCCATTTATTATAACAATTCGCCCCCGGATATTAATTCGTCATAGATTGCGCCCGAATGTCAACACAAAAAAAGTTTGCATCGATATTCAAACGGGCGGAAATCACGAGAGGTTTGCGAGAGCTTTATATAGAGCTACGTAAACATACATATATGAATTTACATGAACATCAAGACTATATGAAGTCCATAAATCAACAGAATACAATAAAAAACATTATTCACGTATGATGTTTTTGCTTCATTATTAAATTCTTAAAAACTTATGCTATTTGTGTCAATTATTTTATATAAATAAATAATAGTATTTCTAGAAGTTTTTAGAAAATATCATACACATATTTAATACAAAGTTTGAGGAGAAAAAAATAAATTGCAGTAAATTAATTCTCAAATATCAGAAGTGCTTTGAAAAATATAGTAAAGAGAGTTTTAATTTTAATATATAGTAAAATATTCTTTTTAAAGAAAAGTTGACAACTTTTGTGTTCTTGCCATACTGTTGAACAGACTTTTCCGTATAGCTTTTGAAATAGTCGTCTTACATGGCGCGGTTGCAATAACTTTTCTCTAATCGACTGTCATAAATTGTCGACAGTTGGATCTGCAGCTGCAGGACGAGAACGGAGGTGACATCAGCAGTTTCATCACTAACGGCGAGTGGCATCTGTTGGGTGAGTTTTTACAGTCCTTATCGGGAACCGTTCACGTCGCCACGCCCGGATAGTTTGCCCCGGTGCCGAAAGTGATTCCCGGCCGATTAGCAATTCTAAAGTCTTGCACGGCCACGGGCGGATGATCAATCGTTTCGCAAATCGGAACCGGTATTGATCCTCACTTTGTTCCTGTCAAAATTGCCTGCATCTGGGTCAGGCGGGACGTAGCGGTTCGCTTCGCGTGCGTCCGAAGTTTAGTGTTTTCGCTGGCGAACACATCGGGCAATCGGTAAAGTGTCGCGAGAGAAATTGCTGCTTGCTTGATTCGAGGAGCGAATAATAGTTCGTGATAGTTGCTAAATAATCATTTGAGAATCGAAGGGCAGATTTAAATTACAATCTTTCATTTCCAGATGTTTGTATTGTATACTTGGCAACTTGTTTTACTCTTTGATACATACAAAATAATTGATGGATCTTTAGCTACGCGAAAGCTTTTAGATTTGCAGTATCGGACTTATGAATATGTAGAGTTTTCAAATGTAAATCTTATACGAATGATATGTTTTTGCGTTTTATTCCAATATTTTATATGAAATGAGTTTTCGTATATTGAAACCTACTATACTATATGTCTAAGTATATTTAAAGAAATAGTTCACAAACAGTTGAAATTGATCTACATTTTAAAGATTAATTTTGAATTCAGAATACATTTTCAATAAATACATTTTCAATGAATAATTTATTACAAAATTTAAATTTAAAATAATACATATTTTATGAAGATTAATAAAATAAAATAATGATAAAGGATCAGTTAATAACATTTTTTTATAATAAGAACTTTCAATTAGCATTATTAAAAGAAAAAGTTGTAATCCTAATCCATTGTTTAATTAAATATAATGTAATGGTTTGAAAATGAACTTATACGCGGAACTCATGTAATATCCGTATTGGAATTGTAGAGCAAAGATAGAAACATCTGGTTTGTGTTTCTCTCTCATAATTGCGAGAGAGATTGTATTACAATTATGATATATTGTTCATTTATGTGTAATTCGCCATTGATAAATTTATTATAAATGTAAGAAATGGTGTGACACCTTTATTGTTCCTCCAACGCAGAAATAAAAGCATTTGCTCTCTCTTGGCGTATCTCGTGTATCTCTCGAAAAATTGTACGATGCATTACGCGTGGGAATAGCGTAGGTCGATGTATACGTGCAATGTATGAGCCGCGGTTATGAGACTTGTGGTAGAAATGTATCTTAAGTAACTGCAGCTGCAGCAAAGCGCACCAGTTTGTACTCGGAGGAATAACGTAAGATAGAATCTTCCGTTTTTCTTTGCCCTGTTGCACGGGATAATTCAAGGAGCAGAAAGAGAAATTTTTCGCTTCCAACAACCTTTTGTTACGTTCGAGAAAGCACTTCGTTTTATTGACAGTACATCGATTGCCCGTATACGTGTATTATGTCATATTTAAGCATTGAATGGAATATTTATCTGAGAATTTTAATTTAACAACAATTTCTAATTTATTGTTTGTTAGAACTGTCAATTAAATATGCATGGATGAATTATATTTTTAAATTATATATGTACACACAGAACGCAAACATTTTGTAATTTTTATAATTATATATAAATATTTATAATCTTTATGCTTTTTATATTTAGAAAATCCATGAAAATTGTGCACTGCATTCATGTTTCTGATTTTTCGCTTGCATTCTGAAGACTAGAATTAAACATTATATTCATGTAATAGTGACGTATATACTTGGCGCGTGACGCTACCATGATATAAATTTTTCCTTTTATCTTGCTCAGGGGTACCCGGTAAGAGAAATGAGATCTACTACAACTGCTGCCCAGAACCGTACGTAGACATCACTTTTGTCGTCATCATCAGAAGACGCACACTCTACTACTTCTTCAACTTGATCGTGCCGTGCGTCCTGATTGCCAGCATGGCCGTCCTCGGGTTCACCCTGCCGCCCGATTCCGGCGAGAAACTCTCCCTCGGTAAGTTTATAAACTCGATGCAAAACTCCGATTGCCCCCGACAGCTCGTAAACGCTCTCGCGATTAGGCACGTCCCTGTTTGCTAAGAGCATCAGACATTTGCACGATTAGGCCCGACCTAGTTCCGGCTGGCAGGCGCTCCTGCATCCGGGCTCCGTGAAGAAACTATTCTGTACCGTGTCGTCACGAGTTTCTTTCACAATCGAGGACCGCGGAACTTTATCGACATTTCAACGTGGAAATTTATACCAACAAAAGTTCGTTACACTACACAAAAACTTAATTTGTTGAGTACAATCTATCTAATAATCTATCACAAGATGTGTACATGTTGCGCAGAAACTACAAATATATGACATGTTCACAGAAATATTTTCAGGAAAAGTTGCTTATAATAAAAAAAAATATATTATAGATTTAAAAAGAAAATAATCTTATTATCTTTATTTTATTATAAAGAATTAAGAATTGATTTCTGTAATTACTTTTAACTAATTTGATTTAATCCTAGCGTTTTCAACTGGATTTTTTTTTTCCAAATATCGATCGTGAATATAGTCTACAATTAAAGTGAGATGAAAAATTATCGTAATCTAAAAATGATTGATTGGTGGTAATTAATATTATATTTTAGCTGATAATTTTCCTAGCAGAAAAATGTCCGATAAAATCTCAATGTATGCAATGTAATCATGCGCTTTCAGACTTTCTCTTGCATAGCTATAACATAATTGTAGATAAATTAAAAATTGATTATAATTATTTTTTAACATGTTCTATTTAATCTTGGCATTCTCTCAATTGGATTATTTTTTTAAAATATACATCATAAATGTAATTTAGAGTTAAAGTGGATAAAAAATTATCGTGATCAAAAAATGGCAAATGATTGATTGATGGTAATTAATATTATAATTTAATACTTTTTCTAATAAAGAATGTCCGATGAAATCTCAACAGTGTGCAACGTAATCAAGCGCTTTTAGACTTTTTTTTACATGCGTAGTTGTAACATTACAATTGTAGATAGAGAAAGATTGCGTTGATGCTATCCATGACATGTTATTTTATTGTTTCCTCATAAGCGTGGTCGTTCTGGAATTTACCGAGAAGCCGGATGCTCGGGTGAAATCCTGCCTTTTATGGCTCGAATCGTTCGGCTGCATAATTCCGATTCCTTGCTTGCCTCACCTCGCGCTGCCGTGCAAACGCTCCTGTGATTAGAGCCGAGGTGCAGGAGTTCCCTAAGCGCATCGAGCGTTTATGCGATTAGATTTCGCTTCGATCCCGATTGAAATGGCGTCCCAGCGCGCAAACTTCGGCAAGCCTTCTATTCAGGTCGTAGAGTTTCTTCGAGCGTACAAGCGCGTTGCTGAATCTCCATCGAATTCGGAAACGATCGCGACAATCGTCGTCACCGATGCGAAGATACGACGACAATGGAATGACAATGCCGAACAATTGCAGATGTCTCCGTTGCAAATTTCCTTAAAGCTTATAGCTATTCGTAGATCGAGATACAATAAAATTGGCTCTACACAGACACATTACAGTTGCCGCTTCAGCATTAACAGTGATTTATAGACAAGAATATCATGTATTAAAAGTTTTATATTTGCATAACTTTTTCTATTAAAAATAGATTAATTAGTATTATAAAAAAGATTAAAGAGCATCGTCTAATATTAGATCGTTTAATTAATCGCACTTTCTCTTTATTTTTTTATAAGATGTAATCTCTTAAACTTTTATTATTTAGTTTTTAATTATCTATAAATCATCTTAATTGACCACAATGTTGACGTAATGCAAGTTTTCCAATACAGCATAAGAATTTAAAACGTTCATTTCATAAGAAAACGAAATGAGCCATAAAGAAAACAATGCAACTCATTCACAATTGACTTTCGCGTTTCTAAGGGACTTGAGGGCAACTCTTAACGTGTATCGTGAGTTTCAAAAAAGCTCGAATAAGGTCTGATATTCAGATGAGGCATCTGCCGTGAATGCCGTAGCGTTTTGAAAGTCTAATTAATTTGAAAGTGCCTCTTAACGCGACACGGTGATTCGCGAGTAAGCGGTACCAAGTTCAAAGCCTGAGTGTCGGATATTTAAGGTACTTAGAGTGCAAACTGTCTCTGAAATTTCTTACTCAAGATCAAATCGAAACTAGGAATCAACCAAATTCTCATTTATATTCAAGAAGATACTTTTCTTTATAACATAAATCTTTATATATTATTCCCTTAAAGAGTATAAACAGAAATGTAAATAGTTTATATCATCCGATACGGAAAAGTTGAAGATCTCATCATATCGTCTTAGGCTGAAAATCGAAGAGCCTTTAGCATGGAATTGTTATGTGTTGAAGGCCCTTCGAGCGTTCAAGGACCGAGGGTTGATCTCGTCTGGCCACCTCGTCGATGCACTCGACTTTAACAATAATTAATCGAAGCTAACGAACCTCTTTTGCAGGGGTAACCATCCTTCTGTCCCTTACTGTGTTCCTGAATATGGTTGCCGAGACAATGCCGGCGACATCCGACGCCGTGCCGCTTTTAGGTGAGCTTGTTTTAACTTTAATTTTCAATGTAATTAATTTTTTAATGTGAGAAAGCAACGTAATTGATCACCTCTATTGCGAACTATTCGAGAAAAAATAGAAGAAAGAAATGAATGAAGATATTCGCATCCTTTTAAGATAATATTCCTCGGTGCAGGTGGTGTAATACCTGCTGATGCAATTAATACTCTTTGATTTAAAGTTAAAAGAATTTGTAAGAATATTATATGTTTTTAATATTACTCGTTTTAGTACAAATTAGTGCAATTTATTTTATTACATATCTTTTAAGAAAAATGTAAATTTTATTAACTGCATTTAATACACAATTATATTAAAAAATAAAATATATACTTTTGTAAGTTCAGATGCTTAATTAAAGGAAAGTAATTGGACAATATTAATGCTAATAACTGTAGCGCTTCGAATTTTAAACATTAAACTATTAAATCCGATTGTTAATTTGGCTTAATTTTAAATTGTATTTTTATTTAATTATTTCCTATTACTTTTCAGGGACGTATTTCAATTGTATCATGTTTATGGTGGCCAGTAGTGTGGTCAGCACGATCCTCATCTTGAATTATCATCATCGGAATGCTGACTCCCATGAAATGGGTCGATGGGTAATTTTCTCCGATCAATATCAAAGCACTTAATGTAATACTATGATAGTTACAATTACGTCGCTTCATTAGTATTGCTAATATTGCGTTAGTTATTTTTTGAGCATAGTTGCACCATAAATATAACTTTTCTCAACATATTTGTAAAATATTTTTCGTTTATATTTTTAAAATTTAAAAAACGACACATTTATTGAGATACATGAGTTTTCAACAATAGCTTTAATGACACATTTGTGTTAAGATAATAAGATAAAAGCAATGACTGATTTTGTCGGCAGTTATAAAGTTAACCGGGAAAAAAAACACATTAATATCCGATAATGTAAAAATCAGTTTAAATCAACAAAGAAACGCATCAAATTTTATTCAAAATTTCTTCCCATTAAGTAGTTGTAACATTACTGCAACGTTACTGAAATGTTTTGTAACGTTTCTTATTTACTGTATTATTTGGTTAATTTTATTAATTAATCTGTTTTATTCATTTTTTTCTTATTTTTAGAATTAATCGGTTTTTATTAATATTCTGTGAGTTTCTTGGAAGTGAATTGTCTAGCTAAACAATTTGTAAATGTTCTTTTTATTTGCACAATAATAACGAAAATCACTTTGTTGAAGCTCGATTCAATTTGTCACCGGTGCTGTATTATTTCCGTACGTAGATAATTATGGTTTTAATTAAAATGCAACGCACCACCGCCGAAGCTGATATATTGTTCTCTTTTCATCATGGATAAATCAGAAATTTTATAGGCGAATAATTAAGGGCCACTCTGCCGAATGCGCACCGCGATAATAAATCATGTATAATCGAATTTTTCGCCGGACGTCACGTTAATTAGAATGTAAATTTCGGAGATTGATTTCCCGCGCGACCAGATTTCTGCGAATGAAATATGCACCTAAGTTAAATTAAACAAACGTGAATTATTCACAATAACAACGTGTCAAGAAGTTTAAACAAAAAAATGAAAGGATAAACACTTACTAGAATCTTTTTTAATCTTTAATTAGAATTATTAATTTAATTCGATTAATATGACAATTATTGTGACAATTATATTGTAATACTATTTAATTTGATCCAAAAATTTAAAAAGAACTATTATTATTAAAAATAAAACAGAAAAATCGCTAACTTTTATTTCATTATTTTTGTTTATTGTACAAACATGAACATAATAAGTACAAATATTGAAATATAAATTAGACTACATTTCGTTAAATTTTTTGAATTGCATTACAGGTTAAAATAATTTTCCTATACTGGCTACCTCGTATACTCGGTATGTCAAGACCAGGACAGGAAGAAGACAAGGAAATACAAAAGTCTCAGAAACCATCTCCTGTCACGGGTAAGATAATTTTAAGTGCACTCATCAGCTAAAAGGTTGCAACACTTCTTTCCGATAGGTTTCGGACTGCAACCTGTTTACCGAGCTATTGGTTCTTACTTATAAATCTGATCATTTACGTTCAACCGCTCTATAGCAGGGCTGAGTTCTAAAACTCAGAAAAAGTGTTGCAACCTTTTAGCTGATGAATAAATAATAAATCGTATATGAGTAAATAATTACTTAATAAATAAATAAATTTCAAATTGATATTGATCATAAATCGAATAGGTCGCCATTAACAATCTTATTCATGTGAAAGATCTTTCATCAGCATAATACCTCTTCTGTATTAATAATTATATATAATTATATATAATTATATATAATTTTTTTTGTGTAACTTTCTTAGTTTGAATTAATAATTCCTTTGAAGCTTCATGAATATTTATTTCAAAGATATAAGGCAACCCTCCAAGGGATTATCGTCGTGTCGTAATCCATTGCTGATGCCAATAATTTAATAAATTGTTTCTTGGATACCAGGTGCAAGCAAGTCGTACGGTGATCTGGAGCTGCACCAGAGGAGTAGTAAGTCCCTCTTGGCGAACGTCCTGGACCTGGATGACAACGCGCTGGCGTCTCACAACAATTTGCTGAACAATGTGTACAGCACACCTGGACCTCATCACGCTCACGCGATGGGTCACGGCCATAGTCATATACACACGACGCCTCATCATCATCATAGCCACGCACCCACGACGCCGCACCATCAGCATGCGACGCCGCTGCCGCACGCATCGTATCCCGGCCATCAGATCTCGCATACGCCTCATCATCATCCACATCCGCAAGACGCGCCAGCGCCGCAGGTTGAGACGATACTCCAGAACGCGTGCTTCTGCGCTCGTTACGAGCTTGTGCTAATCTTGAAGGAGATTAAGGTAATAACTCAATTTGACAACAGAAAGAGTAATCTAAAGAATTTTCTAATTTTGATGACTTTAGATTAACCCTTACCGTACGAGGTTGGATCACTAGTGACCGAGCGATTCCTATTCGTGCTAGTTTCTTTGAGTCTTTCGATAATTATAAATTATACTATATTTTATTATTTTCCAAAATGAAGTTTCGATATTTATTCTAGAAAGTCGAAAGTATGTTGGTGAATTTTCTGAGATTTTTTTGAACCATCTGAATAGATGAATAAAACATATGGATTTTAGTGACCCATGTTTGAATGGATGAGGCACCAAATTATATCTTGTATTGTAAGGGTTAAATATTTAATTCCAAAGGCCTAAGTTTCTAAATTCTGAAAGTTCTAAAACTATAGGTAGAGAGAGACCAGAGACGGAGACTTTTGATTTTTCTGTGTGTATCTCCAAATGGGTAGAGGGGGGGATTTCAAAATAACACAAATATTTTATCTTTTATTGTATGTACGAAATATATTTCTATATCTAGTCAAATACTGTTTTTTGTCAAATCACTCAAAATTTTTTTTAATTTGTCAAAGATTAACACATTTTCTAAATACCCCGAATTCTGGGTGTGAAGAGAGAGAATTCAACACCCATAGGATTTCTGGGTGTGGAAAGCTCCATTAAAAAAGTCTCCTCTTTGATTATAGGGTTGCGCGTCCTTTGAACTCGAGGCTTGATGCTTCTGAGGTTCTGAAATCTTAAAGTTTCAAGATAGACATAAAACCCGTTGGTTCGTAAGCTCCAAGATTGTATCTCAGAGAACCACAATGTTTTTAAACCCCAAGATTGCAATGTTCCAAGATCTGTTTGAAGAGTCTGAAAGTTCGAAGTTCCTAGTTGAAAATCTCTCGTTTAAAACTTCGAAATGATGAAAAAAGAATTCAATATCGGTCGAAATCTTTTTCTAAAGATCAACTAATACAGTTTTGATGAAATAACAATTCTGTTTTAGATGATAACGAATCAACTGAAGACCGAGGATGAAAACACAAAGATCTCGAACGACTGGAAGTTCGCGGCGATGGTGATCGATAGGATGTGCCTAATCATTTTTACTCTGTTCACCATCATCGCTACCATCACCGTCCTGCTGTCAGCGCCGCATATTATCGTCACGTGATTCAGAAAAGCCAGTCTGCCGCCGGTGGTTCCGGGGCCGACGAGGATTGCGTGCCAGGCGCCGGCATCGACGGACGCCGCACGCGACGCTTTAATCGAGCGTCCGCCCTTAACCGATTTCCGCCAGATCGGGTTAAAGGGTGTTCATCTTCGGGTTCGCACGCCGCTTCGTTTCGGAGACCTGCGCGTTAGGAAGAAAGCAATACGGGGAGTAACTTCGTTTCTTTATGATACACATAATAATACCAGTAAAAATAAAAATAATAACATTATCGATAATGAGAATAACGATAATAGTATTAATAATAATTACGTAATAGTAACGGTAAAATTTTATCATATAATTATCCCACGAGGACGCCTTAGCGAAACACGTTGACACACCGTTTATAAATGGCGCGAGCACATGCGCGAAAACGAAGGACACGCGGGAATACAGTATACGCGAAGAACACGTACACTGGTTTGTTACACGCATCCCTGAGAGCAGTCGATGTGACGAACACTTTGTACAGTTGAGATGGTACATTTTGTCGCGAATGAGTTAAATAATTAGTACTATAAAAAAGATCCAATTACAAATTTTCATAGAGATAAAGTAACGTTCGAATCTAAAAGGAGTATTCGACTCTGTCCTCCACGACTACTACTTGGGGATGTACCACACATACACGTACACACACGCACGTAACATCATGCGAGAGCGTTAATACACACGGAACCGTGATTTGCCAATGAGTCAAAAATACTTTTCTGCGGCCCAAGGTTAGTACGATATAGAAATCTTCGAATGTATCCGAGGATCAGTATATTGCTAGATTTAAGAGACTCTTACGGCAGTCCAGACAAGTTTCGTAACGTTTCTACGAATTCGTATATAAAGACTCCAAATTCGAGAATCCCCAAAAGCATAAAAATTTTGAAAAATATAAATTTCAAGGGATATAAAATTAACATATAAATGAAAAATATGAATAATATAGTAGTGCGCTCACAGAAAAAACACTGATATAAAATCAAAGTTTTCAAGTGTGACTGAAGTTCTCGAAAATACGTAAACTGTAATACCCTAAAGAAATTCCGGAATTACTATATGTCAGTTGATGGTCTTGTCTATAATAAGATGCGAAAAGAAACGCTCGAGAATGTTGACGGCGCGACGGTTCCTTTTTGTCCGTACAAAACGAAATAATGAAGATAGGAGACAAAAAGCGACAAATAGGGATAAAAAGGACGAAGCAGGACAAGGGTTGGGCTTTAAAGGTAAACACACAGGCTACACTTTCAGAATATACACGATGAACTGCCAAGGTGATTCAAATAATGCCAGGTGAATTTTTCTTATCCGTATCATTAGTATGTAAAAATCGACGACTTAATAAATGGAGGATTTGTATTACGATTTAAGTGGCGGTGACACAAAATACTCTCTCGAGTAGGTCGCGAGAGAGATCCGAAGGACACTACGGAAGGATGCAAAGATCGGACGCGAGAGACAAATGCAAAAAGGACGGTTAGGATTGTTCGATAACTTCCGCTGCGAGAAATTCAGTTTCGAGCGATGTACTTTCTTTCATGTCTGCAAGTTTGAACAGTTTCGTTATTAATCTGCGTTCTCGTCGCACATTTAATGATGAATGCAATTTTCTGATCCCTAATTTACTATCGGGATCGTGTAAATACGAGCTTAATATCGCATATATACATATATATATATATATACACACTAGGATACTAAACGGTTATATATTTCGAGACTTAGACGACTAACTTTTCAAGTTGACTGTCCGAGTTTCATATAAATTATGGGACCTGGGGACAGCTGAAAATCTCACATTTTTTAATATGATTTGTAAGTTTTGAGTTTCAAGAAAAATACGTATATTTCTCGTTGGATGTGTGCCGAGAAAACGGATCGTTACCTCTTACATCGCACGTATAAACGCGAGTTTACGCAGACATACTTACGTTTTGAACACACAAATATTCGCATACGTTTTATTGTTTCACGCATTAGTCTTTTTTGTAACGATGCCATTACAGAAACTATTATCGCGACAGCATAATTGTAACTTCTTTCTGACATTTAAAAATTGTTTTGTAGAACAAAAGCTAAATAAGCATGGGCTTTTATTTCTCTTTTTAGAAAAAATATGTAACTTTAATGTCTCTTGTTCTGTTCAGAACACTGCGGCGTATTTTAGCTGACACTGAACATCGACAGCTATATTAAAATTGAGCAATTATACTATGTATAAATTAATATTGCAATACTAAATATTACGATTAACGAGTGGATTTATCACGATAAATTTTTTTCAACCGCAAAAACGGACATGACTTCACTTTCGAGTGCATCCAAAAAATTGACACTTTCATGTTCTCTGCTAATTTACGAGCCGCTCGAGAATGTGGTAGAAAATCGCGGAAGCGACGGAGACGATTAGTCACTGAAGAAGAAAGAGCAACGTGAGATGGCGACCGATAAAGAAAGGAAGTTACTCTTGCTCACACGGACAGACTCGTAGGCGGACGTCGTCTCGACGAGACATCAGGGAGACGAACTCAAGTCGTATCGTACATTTTTCGGCCATTGGCACTGGATACGCGACAACCAATCACGTTATCTTTTAAATACTATTAAAGATTATTAAAGTAATGAATCGTTGTTGATCATGTTGTATCGTGAACGGGATTACGCGTAGAAGTATATTAAGAATACGATGTTTTTTGATCTCAAGCGCGCGGAAAACAAAAAAGGAGTGAAATAAACAGATTAACGTCGAATGTATTAAACTTGTAAGAGAGATAGAAATTTTTAGACGAAAAATGCGATTAATCATTATTGGTGTCAAATAGTTAAGGAAAAATCAAGGAAATAATTCGCTAAAGAAAAATGGAACAAAATGTACAGTTCGAGACATCAACGTTTTAATGCCGACACGATTACCCTTTACGCGATAAAAATTAATAAATGGCTCGATTAGCCTCTAATTGACTTGGCGAGATAATGACGTTACGCCTGGTCTTATGAACCAAATACATGTTGAACTGATCTAGTACTTTAGAACTAGAACAACAAATGCCACACATCGCGCTTTGGAAGTAGGAAGAAGGAAAAAATAAGGAATTTATGTATTTAAAAAGGGATACGTTTGATAATAATTTGAAAGTCCACTTTCCAACTCGTTAATTTTATCTTTAAAGAATCATTTCTGTTTTAGATCATATTTTTGCATACATTTATAATTTCACAAAAAACTTTACGTTCTCTCGAGTTTATTTTATCTGGTATACATAAAATAGAATAAGTTCTCAAACATTAAGGTTCAGACAAGAAAACGTTTGTCCTCCTACTTCCAGGCAACAAAGTGCCGTGGATTATATCCTTTCCAAAAAAGTTAATGATGTAAAATAGAGATTTCTTAATGCCTTTGTAATTTTTGTCATTATAAGACGTCTGATCCCATAGTTTTTTTTAATGTGCGTTTGCTGTAGTTCAAGTTGGTGGAAAGGTGTTTAACAACGTCGTTTTTATTGCGATAAGAATATGCCATCTGTTTTTATATATATAGAATAAGACGAAAAATATGAATAGATTTCATGTTTTGTTCTTTTCCGGGGTGAAGACTTTTTTTTATAAATGTTTTCAAAATTGCAACACAGATATTCCTATATAATAAAAAGAACGTTAAAAATATTTCTTATTGAATTTTCCCACATATTTTCAGTAAGATTTTCAAAGAATTGTCGTATTATTTCGAATAACATTGGAGGGAAATAATTTTATTGCTAGGGCTTCTTTTAATGAAGCCTTCGCTTATTCAAATTTAACCGCGATTGTTATGCACGAAATATAGTACGCGTATCAAACTTATTGCAATTAATTATATCGCAAGTATAAAATTAATCTAGAAACAGCGGCGTATATGGATTACGAGTCCTAGAACACTACGGGTATCAAAAAATCTTGTTAGCGAGACAACGCGCGATCTTAATATAATCGAGGTTTAACGATTAGATAGAAAAAAAATAATACGTACCATGGTACGCGATACTGTACGATTATAGTTGTTCTAATTATACTTATAAATGTGCATTATCACATATCGCACATTGGAATTCATGATGAAGCCAGAAAATTGCTCACTGTAATTTGTCGCTAACAACTACTATTTTATTTCCCTATAAATTGGTAGACGTACCATACGAACACATACTACCATAAGCGAGGACAAGAACAACCATTCTTTCCTTTGCGTGGAAATAATTAGTTTCTTCACAACAAAAATGATAAATGAAACAATGCAAGATTTTCTGTATTTACCATAGGATAGTTTGCATCTAAGGAGAATATAGTTTTAAAATTATATTGGTTTATATGTAGGGTAGATGGTCCAACAGTGAACCAGTAGTATACTATGAACCATTGCGATATTTCGTAAATGCGACGTTACCAGATTGCGCTGTTATCATGCAGCGACTTTCATTTGAGCCCCTCCTCGGCTCCCCAGTCGGCTGGCAAATTGCGCCAAGGATGGCCATGTAATATCACATTTTAAGAATTTTGGGTTGCAAAGTAAATTTTTTCCGTAAGTTTTACGCATTTTTTATGTTTTTGTTGTTATACCTATCATTTTTTTCATTGTGGCATAGTTTTGTGTGCACATTTGGCTTTATTATTCTGTAAGCAACTTTTTTTTTGTTGTATTATTTTACCCCATTATTTTGGAGATTATCGTGGAAAAGGTTAGATGGTCTACAATGAATCATTTTAATGTAGTCAACAATGAATCATGGCACATAATCTTTTTTACGACCTTCAAAATAATAATTCATTATTATTAGGTAATTATTTAGAATACGGCTCCTCCTCCCATCTAAAATCTTAATAAAAATGTATACTCATTCGACGCGTTTTCACTCAAAACGAAAGAATCTGACAGAAAAACGCGGCGGTAAGCCTTGTGAATCTTTATCATCTTATAATTATCTATTTTCTAAATAAATATGTTAAAATATAGCAAAACTAAAATAATCCCAACAATTCGCAGTATAAAACATGCGGTTCATTATTAAAAATAGCATGGTTCATTGTGCACACACCCCCTTGTACACAATGAATCATTTTCCGTTTTTTGAAATAATCGAAATTGTGGCTAAACTTAAAAAATAACTTAAGAGTTATTATTTATAGTATGCACAGCCAACTAAATTCATAAACTGTATGTTAAAACTCAGATCTTCAACTCAATAATTGAGAGAGATATAAGCCTCTGAAATTTACATGGTTCATT